ACAGATACTCAAACTCCTTGTATAAAATGACATTATATTGATATACAATCCTCATCCAGCCTCCTGCATACCTTAAAGTATCTGGATTACTTATAATTAAATAAGTACATGGCTGTTATACTGTATTGCTTAGGTATTAACAAGCAAAAACATCTGCTCTTTTGCAGTACAGATTGAATGTTTTTGGTATTTTCAATCCACAGTTGGTTGAATGCATCAGACACCACAAGCTAACAATATAACTCATAGAAAAAAAACTGTATAAAACATATTTCCATAAAATAGGCATTAGTTTTGGATGTTTAAGATGCAAAATGAGAAAAGTAAACCTGTTATTTCCTATTTCATAAAAATACAAGTACTTTAGAGATTCCATATACAGAGAACATATCAAGACAATGCTTACTCTGCTTTGGGAATTCTTTTGGTTTTTAAACTTTTCCTCTAAGCAGTCCCTTTTAGTGTTTGACCCTCACCACAGAGAAATTCCTTCTCATTTGCAATCTAATTATCTCATGTTGAGGTTTTTTAGATTTAATTTGTTATTGAATTTATTATTTTACATGTCAATCCCAGTTCCCTCTCCCTCCCTCCCTTTTACCTTCTCTGCCCCCTCACATGCACCCTGACCATCCTCCCCTCCCATCCCCCATCCCAATTCCACATGTAGGGCAATGCCATCCAGGTGGGGTCATGTAGATCTTTCAGGTCATTTGAAGTAGGGACTAGGACTTCTCTCCTGTCTCTAGGTTAAGGCAGTATCCATCCATGGGGGATGTGTTTGCAAGGTCTTTTTGTGCACCAGGGATACATCCTGGTTCCACTGGCTGAGGTCCCTTAGACTGCTCAGTCCTTCTGGCTGAGACCCATATTCAGGGGGCCTGAGTCAGTTCCATGCTGAATTCCCAGCTATCAGTCTAGGGGCCCGTGAGCTCCTCCTTGTTCAGGTCAGCTGGCTCTGTTTCTGCAACCTGGTCTTGTCCACTCCGTCTGCATCTGTATTCTAGTTTGACTCAGTGTTTATGTATGGGTGTTTGCTTCTGTTTCCAACAGTTATTAGATGAAGGCTCCATGGATAAGTTAGTTGTTGATCTCATTATCTGGGAAGGGCATTTAAGGTAACCTTTCCACAGTTGCTCAAATTGTTAGTTGGCGGCAGTCTTGTAGGTCTCTAGACCTTTCTTTAGGTTCAATTTTCTCTTCAAACCAATAATGCCTCCCCTTTCCTGTCTTCTATTCCTACCCTGACTCAATCTTCTTAGTCGCACGTGCTTTTCTCTCCTCCCCCTTTCTTTCTCCTACTTCTCTCCATTCACTGCCCCCCCACTTACCCTGTGCTCTGGGGGACTTGTCCCTTCCCCTTTCTGAGAGGCACTTTATATGAATCTCTTAGAATACACCTTGTATCCTAGTTTATCTGGAGGTGTGAAATATAGGCTGGTGATCCTTTGCTCTATGAGCGAGTACATACCATATCCTCTTTTTGTGACTGGGTTACCTCATTCAGGATGGTTTATTCAAAGTCACATAAGAGAATTAACAGCACAACTGAAAGCCTTAGAACAAAAAGAAGCAAACTCACCCCAGAGGAGTAGATACCAGGAAATAATCAACTTGAGGGCTGAAATCAACAAAAAAGAAACCAGGAAAATAATACAAAAAAAATCAATGCAACAAAGAGATGGTTTTTTGATAAAATCAACAAGATAGACAAACCTTTGTCCAAGCTAAGGAAAAAGCAGAGAGAGAACATGCAAATTAACAAAATCAGAAATGAAAAGGGGAACGGACACAGATGAAATCCAAACAATTTTCAGGTCATACTTTGAAAACCTGTATTCCACAAAAATTGATAATTCAAAGGAAATGGACAAATCAAGAACAGTCAAACAACTTAAGTAGACATATAACCTGCAATGAAATAGAAGCAGTCATCGAAATCCTACCAACCAAAAAAAAAAAAAAAGCCCAAGGTCAAATGACTTCAGTGCAGAATTCTACCAGACTTTCAAGGAAGAACTAATACCATACTCCTCAAATTGTTCCACACAATAGAAACAGAAGGTTCATTGCCAAACCCTTTTTATGAGGCCACAATAACCTTGGTACCCAAGCCTCACAAAGAAAACTACAGACCAATATCCCTGATGAACATCGATGCAAAAATACTCATGTAGAGTTTTAACCACCCCTCAAGATGGAGAGCAGTTGGTTCCTACTTTCTGTATAAACCCATACTTCCTAAATAGAACAATCCCTTTATTTTTTCAATATTTTCTAAAAATGTGGTTGCTTTTATGCCTAGAAAGAAAGGTAATATGTATGTTGCCCATATCCTTCCAAAGGTGTTGACTGTTAGTTATGCAGCTACATCAAGACAACGGAAACTGAAGAAGATAGTCACTTTATGGTGTCTACACACCATTCACACTTTCTGAATCTTTAGGCTCAGATGCTGACGTTTCTGTTTTCTTCAAATTACGTCAAAACTAATGATTTTCAAAGAAAATATGAGAAAAGTATGTGAACAGTCAAAGAATTTGAGCTATTTTTAGTATTTTGTGCATAGTGCATTTACTTGTATTCTAAAATTTAGGAAATATATTGGATATCATAGAAAGACATAGAGTGAACCACTAAGATCTATAAGAATACAACATATATTTTTATAATGATACTTCATCAAAAGCTTTTCCTAGGGGCTAGAGAAATTGCTGTACTTTCAAAGGACACAGGCTCAATTCCCAATACCCACATTAACTATCATCACCTGCAACTCCATTTCCAGGGGAATCTGATGCCCTATTCTATCCTCCTTTGAGGAATCCACACCATCACCCTCATCCCCTGACCCCCAACACACACACACACACACACACACACACACACACACACACACACACTTTAAGACCTTTATTGACCATTTATTTATTTATTTAGTCTCTCCTCCCCTAGCAGTTGTATTTTATCATGGTTTAATAAGGATCAGGATAAACAAATAGGCCGAATAGATGTTTATTCAGAGAGAAATAACTTACAACCTGGAGAGATGAACACCAGCAGGTTCCACAGGATGCTCTCCTCTCCATGTCCCAGCCAGCAAGAGAGTGTTCCCCAGATCCTCTTCAGACCTAGTTCCACAGGTCATTTCCACCCCTGTCTCCAACACCAATGGGCGTGGTCAGTGACAGAGATGCAGACAAAGTGATTATCTCACTACAATTCCCCTTTTAGTCTAAAGAAAAGATTTAGAATTGATACAAAACTATATACAAAACAGTGACTAACAAGTGTGCTCTAAGAAAAGGAAAATCTAGACCATACAAACTTAAGACCTACATATCTAGTCCTAGGGTAAAGGCATAACTGAGTTTACAATAGAGTTGTCCTAAGCTGGAAAGCTTATGTCTAGTACCTAATATATCTAACTAGGAAAAGAGACTAATAGTTGTAATAGTTTAATCTTCAACCTCATCAATAGCTGAGAAGGAACATAACAATACTAGGGTAGAGAGAAAGTACAGATGGGCAACTTCCAAAAGGTGCAGTGAGGACAGAAACGGCAGGCTACCTGGACAGTCACCCAAGGTCTCACAGCAACGTTGGTACACCCAGTTTTGGCTAAGGCCAAGAGTACTTGACAGACCACAACAAAAACTTGGCAAGGTTCAGCAGTCTTCTATGTTTGTCTCCTACAAGCACGTAGGACCACATGTCCAAATCAGTGGTCAAGGTGGGGGCAGTTATTTGGCCAAGAGGCCATTAGCCGAAGCAAGGACGAACTCCAGAAGGAGCAACAACAGTGCCCAACATATTTTTTGGAAATATGCACGTTGCTGTCAGGAGCAATAGTGTCTCATGTCAACGGAGTACTAATGTTAAAACATTTAAATGCCATGTTCCAAAGGTCTATGAAGTGTTTGAAAATAAAGCATCTATGTCTGACTAATCTCATAGGTATAGGAAACATGGGTGAAGATAATATGTAATACTTAGGAACTTAGCTAAAAAACTGATTGAAACTTCTCTGAGTAAAGGAGGAACAAATACCTAAACAATATAACTATGTACATATGTATACATGTAAATTCCTAAAATAGAGGTAGAGTACAAATGTCTAGACCAGAGATGGAACTACAAAGGGCAGCATGATAAATATCCCAAATTGTATAAATATACAAAATGTCTTGAACATAAGTAAAAGTATACATACATAGAATGTGGTAAGGATAATGTGCATAAAACAACATAAATGGAAATATTATACCCAATATGACAAAATATAATATACCATTCTTCTGGGAAGGGAATATAAACTTAACTTTACATAGGTTACCACAAATAAGAGTATATAACAATGTAAGCTGTATAATACCAATATCTCACTATAGTAAAATAATTCACTAGAAGATAGGCTAATCTACCTATGTCCCATCTTCATATTTATAGTAGTACATTCAACACTTTCCATAAAATATTCTCAACAAAAGGAAATCCACAGTGCTTCCATCTTGCTCCTTTTATTATACACTCTGAGCCATCCTTAGTGTAAAAGTATTGGTTAGGTATGTTAAATGCAAGGAGGCATGGCATGAGACAATATTGGGAGGGCACTTTAATCTGAAGCTGTTAGGATTATCGGCTCCAAAGGTGAGTAGTCAATACTTACCTTTATTTTTAAAACAAATGCCCTAAAACTAAAAATTTTCACAATTTAATTCCCCTTTTAATGTACAATGCCTTCAGTTTTTGGGTTGAGACAGGGTCTCACTGGCTAGGCTGCAGCTTACTATGCTGACCAGGTGGGCCTTGAAGTCATATAGAACCACCAGCCCCTGCCTCCCTAGTGTGTGTTTTCATGTCTAGCTAAATGTCCTTATGTTTTATAGAACACTGTTTTAAAATCAAAGTGCTGGGGCTTAGTGATCACTAGAGTACTTGGTTAGTATACGTGAAAGTAGCCTATGGCTTGCTCCGCACCATGCTCACCCACATGGAGTGATCACTTATTTACTCATAAAGGCATCCCAACTTTAGATCTGACTGTGAAAGAGCATAAGAATGAAGAAAGATTTCCCCCTTAATAATTTAAAATATAAATAGCTGTTTTAAATCACACTAAACAAAATGTACAACGTTCCTGATTGACATTTAGGGTTTAACACTTTATATATAGTCATTTCGGTCTATGGTGGGACAGAGGCTGGCTCCTCTTCCTCCTTCATCTTCATCCGGTAATACTCATCGATGGCATACTGGTATTTTGGGGTGCTGATACCCAAAACAGATGCAATCTTCTCTCTAAGAAAGTCACACACTGAGAGGGTTGATGTGGCAGCCCGAATCATGTAAAACCACAAGTAGGGCCCCCAGGGAAGTTTTGTTGGGTCACTGGTGGGCAGCACATCCTTTTTCTCAATGCCGTAGACTTCATCCTCATCAGTGCTGTACTCCTCCATGGTCTCGCCACTAATAAAGTGGATGACCCTCCTTGGAACTTTCTTCTTTTTTCCTATGACTCCAGTTCTACGTTCTCAAAGCCCTTTCATTACTCATCTGCCGCATCATGTTCCCGAACGCTGCAGCGGCTGCCGCCTCGGTTTCTCCCTGTTTCGCAAGGCCCCGCTCTTGCTCAGGCCTGGGCAGGTGCAACAGGGAGGGAGATCCGAGAAATGCTCGCCACAGGCCGCCAAAGGCCCCTGCCGCACGCCCTGACCACCAGGGCTGCAGTACCCAGCCTCCTGTCCTGGAGGTGGGACCAGACCGGGTGGCAGAAATACCTTACTCATAACAGTATTTGGTTCTACCTTATGTCTCTAGTCCCTTAGGCTTCTGATTCCTGGCCATTCAAGCGTGTCAGGCATAGGCTCTCTCAAGTTAGTCCAGTCATTGATTGGACACTCCTGCAAGTTCTGAGCCGCCACTGCTGCAAGACATCTTACAGACAGCACAGGTTGTAGATCAAAGGTTTTGTGGCTGGATTAGTGTCCCAGTTTCACCACTGGAAGCCTTGCCTGGTTCTAGAAGGTGACTGGTTCAGCAGACTCTGTATCCTCCATTACTGGGGTGCCCACTAGGGTCACTCTTACAGATTCCAGAAGTTTCCACAGAATCCAGAAGATTGCACTGAAGTGGCAATCATGAAGCCTACATGGGTCTGTACTAGGTCCTTTGCATATACATTGTAGTTGTTTAACTTCGGGTTTTATGGGATTCCTAACAGTGGGAGTAGAGGTGTCTCTCACTGCTTTCCTTTCTTCTGGGACCTTTTTCCTCCTACTGGGTTGCCTCATCGAATCTTGATATGACAGTTTGTGCCTAGTCTTACTGTATCTTGCTATGTAGTATTCAGTTGATATCCCTGGGAGGAATGGAGATGAAGGAGCAACGGATATGGGGAGAAGAGAGGTAGAATGAGGGTGAGGAGAGTGGGAGGAAATGGGGGGATTTGTGATGGGGGTGGATTGTATGAGAGGAGAATAAGTAAATGGATCTTTTAAAAGAAACTCTTCTTTGAAATATAGAATAGTTCTGAACCATTGCCATCATTACAAATCCTGTGAAAATGACAGAAATCTAATCACACCATAATGATAGACCAAAAAGAGGAAGGGATTTATTAAGATTGAGTTACATTATGAAAGAAAGTATAAGAAATATGAAAATTAGTTATATTAAGTATAAAATCATCAAAACCCATAGTAAACTGCTTAAAAGAATAAAGTCTATTCATGATGTGTGTGTGTGTGTGTGTGTGTGTGTGTGTGTGTGTGTGTGTATTGTCATGGGCATAGCATGAATTAGCTCATTTAATTTGTTCAACATCCTAGCAAATGAGGTGTGCTAGTTTAAATGCTAAGAAAGCTGAGGTAAAGAAGTTTAGTTTAGTTTGACCCCCTTCGCCGGGCATCTGCTAGAGGACTCAGTTGGAGAGTTCCGAGTCCTAGTCAGAGACCCACCTATCCCTGCTGGACCATCCTGAGTCCCTGCCTGCTGGATCTTTGGCCCCCATAGCCTAGGACCTCTGCTAGAGGTGAGTCTGGGACCACTTCAGGTTGAATTCCACCCCCCCCCCCACAACACCCTTCCCTGGGACTCCCTTGGATTGGCCCCGAATCTCACTACCCACTGTGTCCTGTCCCCAGCAAGAGTGCTCCTGGTGCTCTCACACACACACACACACACACACACACACACACACACTCCAATGAAGAGCCTTCCCTCTCCCCACCCTGTGCAATACCCTGCCCACTGATCCACCACTCTGGTTGAGCACTGGAACAGAGGGCAGATCCAACAATCCCGCCACCTTTGGGGAAATTCCTGGAGCTGCTCTGAGCACACTAGACCTGGCTATCCACGAGGGACCACCCTGAATCACTGCCTGCCTGATCTCTGACCCCCACTACCAGTCCTCTGCCAGAGCTCTGACCCCTGCCAGATATCTGCCTATACCTGCAGGACCATTCTGGGTCCCTGCCTGCTGAATCTTTGACCCCCTTTGTCAGGCCTCTGCTAGAACCTGATCTTTGACCCCTATCACCAGGCCCCTGCCTGAGGAGAGACCTCCTAGATAGCTAGGACCATCCAGAGCTACAGACATCGAACGTCTGACCGTCTGACCAACCTAAGCCAACCAGGGGAGAACTAAAGACAGAGAGAGAAACCCTACCTGCACCTACTGGAAGAGGCTATGGGAAGGCAGCAATACAAGAAAACACCTAACAATAGAAAGACAAGCATGACACCACCAGAATCTAGGGACTCTATATCAACTAGACCTAAACCCCCCCCCCAAATCAGATGAAGCACTCAAAAAAATGATAGAGGCTTTCAAAGACTATATAAGAAAATCACTTAAAGAAATGGAAGAAAAATCAAACAAAAAATTGGAAGAAATGAACAAATCTCTTGAAGAAGTACAGAAAGCCAAGAAAAAAACAAACAGGTGAAGGAAACAGTTCAAGACTTGAAAACTGAAATAGAGACAATAAAGAAAACACAAACTGAAGTAATGCTGGAAACAGAAAAACTGGGCAAACAATCAGGAACTACAGGCACAAGCATAATCAACAGAATACAAGAGACAGAAGAGAGAATCTCAGGCGCCGAAGATAAACTAGAGAAAATAGATTCATCAACCAATGAAAATCTTAAATCCAACAAATCCTTAACATGAAACATCCAGGAAATGTAGGACACCGTGAAAAGGCCACACCTAAGAATAATAGGCATAAAGGAAAGCGAAGAAGCCCAGCTCAAAGTTGCAGAAAACATATTCAACAAAATCATTAAAGAAAACTTTTCTAATCTGAAGAAGGACATGCCCTCGATACATAATAATCAAAACACCTAACATACAGAATAAATAAAGAATATTAAAAGTAGCAAAGGAAAAAGGACAGGTAACATATAAAGACAGACCTATCAAAATTACACCTGACTTCTCTACAGAAACTCTCAAGGCCAGAAGGTACTAGATAGATGTTCTAGAAGTACTAAGAGTCCATGAATGCCAGCCCAGGCTACTATACCCAGCAAAACTCTCAATCACCATAGATGGAGAAAACAAGATATTTAATGATAAAGCCAGATTTTCACAATATGTATCTACAAATCCAGTCATACAAAAAGTTTTGGAAGGAAAACTCCAACCCAAAGAAGTCAACTACGCTCACAAAGACATAGGCAACAGCTAATCCCACTTCACCAGAAACCAAGGGTAAAGCAGGACAAATATATTCACAATACCGCTGCCAACAACAAATCTAAAACACACAAGCATTAACAATCAATGGACCTTACTCACCCTCAACATTAATGGTCTTAACTCACCCATAAAAAGACACAGGCTAACAGAATGGATATGAAGACAGAACCCATCCTTCTGCTGCATACAAGGAACACATCTAAGTTTCAAAGACAGACATTACCTCAGGGGAAAGGAATGGGAAAAGATCTTCCAATCAAAATAGCAAGCAGATGTGGCTATCTTAATATCTAACAAGTAAGACTTCAAAAGAAAATCAATCAAAAGAGATGAAGATGGTCATTTCATATTCATCACAGGAGAAATTCATCAGCACAAAGTCTCAATTCTGAACATCTATGCCCCTAATACAAAGGCACCCACATTTTTAAAAGAAACACTACTCAAAACTCAAAGCTCACATAAAACCTCACACACTTATAGTGGGAGACTTCAACACCCCACTCACTGCTAGACAGGACCACCAGTCAGAAACTTAACAAAGAAATAAAAGAACTAACAGAAAATATGTCTCAATTGTGTTTAACAGGGATCTATAGAACATTCCATCCTAACACAAAAGAATATACCTTCTCTGCTCTAAATGGAACCTTCTCTAAAATCGACCATATAATAGGCGACATAACAAACTTCAACAGAAAGAAAAAAAAAATTGGAAAAGTCTCTATCTTATCAGACCACCATGCTTTAAAATTGGAATTCAACAACACAAATCACAGAAACCCTACAAACTCATGGAAACTGAACAAAGTGCAATTGTGCAATTGCACCACACCTGGGTCAAAGAAGAAATAAAGAAATTAAGGACATCCTAAAATTCAACGAGAATGAAAACACAACATACACGAACTTACGAGACACCTGGAAAACAGTGCTAAGAGGGAATTTCGTTACACTAAGTGCCCATGTGAAGAAAACAGAGGATAGTCACATAAAAGAATTAAAAGTACAACTGAAGCCTTAGAACAAAAATAAGCAAACTCACCCTGGAGGAGTAGGTACCAGAAAATAATCAATTTGAGGGCTGAAATCAAAAAAGTAGAAACTAGGAAAACAATACAAAAAATCAATGCAACAAAGAGTTGGTTTTTTGAAAAAAATCAACAAGATAGACAAGCTTTTATCCAAACTAAGGAAAAAGCAGAGAGAGAACATGCAAACTTATCCACCATCATAGAGCCCTCATCTAGTAGCTGATGGAAACAGAAGCAAACCACCCACAACTGAACACTGGATGCAGAGAGGGAGGACAAGACCAGGGTGCAGAAACACATAGACAGCTGACCTGAGCAAAGAGGAGCTAATGGGCTCCCAGACTGATAGCTGGGAATCCATCATGGGACTGACTCAGACCTCCTGAACATGGGTCTCAGCTAGAAGGCCTGAGCAGTCTAAGGGACCTCAGACAGTGGAACCAGGATGTATTCCTGGTGCACAAAAGGAAATATGGAGGCACATCCCCCATGGAGGGATACTCCCTTAACCTAGAGTCAGGAGAGAAATCCTAATCCCTACTCCAAATGACTTGGGAGATGTAGATGACTCCTCCTGGAGGGCATCACCCTACATGTGGAGTGGGAGGGGGATGGAAGGGGAGGGTGGTCGTGGGGCATGAGAGGGTGGGAGACAGGGGATGAGGGAGAGAGGGGAGGAGGGAGGGAGAGGGAACTGGGATCAATAAGTAAATTAAAAATAAAAAAGAATCTTTAAAAAAAGAAAAAAGAAGTTTAGTCTAAAGATCATTCTGAAGATTTATAGCACATTTTGAATTCTAAAAGCAATAGACTAACCACAAATCTTGGAATTTTGATTAGTAGAACGGTCTGTTATCAAAAGATGATTTAACCAAGAACTGAACTGTTACATCTCCTTACTCTTCAAAACTAACCATTCTTACAGGCTGGTTTCTCTAACCAGTTTACTCTGGGAATTGCCTATATCTCCTCTCTGAAGCTATTATTACAGGAAGGCCAGGA